GTCACGTGATCACAATGGCGGCTGTTTTGATTTTGCTCTCTGTTGATTTTGCTGTGTAAGGCCTACTAACAGAAGATCGCGGCAGAAATGTCATCGATAACCTGCTGCTAAGGATTCAGTCGTTCGTATGTATCATCATGGGCATTGACATACAACTGTGGAGGACAAGAATTGGATGTTTCTCCGTTCGTGGTAGGCGACCCCGTTCCGTGTGTCGCGGTATACAGCTACCTGGCGGTTTGCGGGTGAGTCTCCGCTTAGTTCTGCTGTCACAAACTCTGCTGCTTAACGCTGGAGATATAGAGTCTAACCCCGGACCACCTAAATCAGCTACAGCATCGGGAGAGCGCATCCAGACCAGACTGCCCGCTCAAAATGTATCTGGTCAGTGTGTTGTGACAGAAAACTCGGACAACCAAGTCATCACCCTCTCTGATCTCGCTATAACGCTTAGATCGATTCAGGCTCAGATTACATCGCTCAATGACAAGTCCGAGACATTCACGTCTGACTACAGTCGCAGGCTTATAGATTTAGAGGAGGAAAATGAAATATTAAAATCTAAAGTGTGTGATTTGGAAATTAAGACTGATAAGATGGAGGTCCAGTCTCGACGTTGTAATCTTATTTTCCATGGTCTTCCCAATAGGCGTGGCGAAACATGGGCTGACAGTGAAAGTTGTGTGAGAGAGATTTTATGCATACTTCACTTCGAATCCGATGAACCAGTGAGCATAGAAAGAGCCCACAGATTACGTTCTAAATCCGGACAGAGACCAGTTTTTGTTAAATTACTTTTCTCAAAGATTAATGATTCCTGATACTGCTATCTCAAAGGTAAAAAGACTTTGTTGTCACTGAAGACTTCACTGAGAGAGTGAGAAAGACACGTTCTCGATTGGCTCTATTGATGATTGGGGGGCACGGGTGGCCCAGTCGTCTAAGGCGCCGCGATTCGCTAAGCAGAGTTGCGTCCCTTGGGCATGCCAGAAACCTATGATTGTGGGTTCGAATCCTGGTTCGCCCCGATTATGTTTCTAGGTTTGTCAGCACCATACCCGTGCTCGTGGGTTTCACCGAAGTGGTAAACGTCTGGGACCTGCATCACTTCGGGCTTTCCTCCCACATTAAGCTGACACGCCGCGATATAACTGGAATACTGTTAAAAGCGGCGTTAAACCCAACTCACTCACTCACCATTGATGATTGGTTGGTTGGTTGATTTGTTGTTTTACGCCGCACTCAGCAATATTCCAGCTATATGACGGCGGTCTGTGAAACAATCGAATCTGGACAGACAATCCAGTGATTGGCATCATGAGCATCGATCCACACAATTGGTTGGTTGGTTTGTTGTTTAACGCCGCACTCAGCAGCATTCCAGCTATATGACGGCGGTCTGTAAATAATCGAGTCTGGACCAGACAATCCAGTGATTAATATCATGAGCATCGATCCACGCAATTGGGATCGATGACATGCATCAATCAAGTCAGCGAGCCTGACCACCCGATCCAGTTAGTCGCCTTTTACGACAAGCATAGTCACCTTTTATGGTTTCTATAGGGTCTTCAGGTAGACAAAGATATCAGCCTCAGTGGTTTGATAAGGAGAGCGTGTTTTTGAAGTCCGAGAAATACAGACTTTTGAATACATTTAGAAGTTGTAAGTGTTATTCAAACTTAAAGCAGTACATATCAGCCAAAGACGTTTTTAAGAAATGTTGAAACAAAAGGAAACTTAACTACGACTTACATCAAAATGAAGAAATCAATACCGCTGCTAAACACAGTGATTGTCAACAGTTTTGGAAGACAGTGAAAAAGGCCATACAGAGACGTCCACTGAGAAGTTATATATCTCCAAGTAGCTGGCTGATTTACATTAGAGATCTTCTTATTCCCTTACAGGGAACTGATAATGATGAGTTTGATCGTGTTGTGGGGGAGTTTCTGCTCTCTCATACATGTGCTAACTGTAATGATTTACCCTTTTCGGATGAACTCCTGTCAGGTGAGATAACTGAAAGCGAGGTCTCGGACCTATCAATAATCTGAGTATGGGCAAGGTCGCAGGTAAGGATGGCATACCCCCTGAATTCTTAAAACTACCATCGGATCTCTTTGCACCATACTTGAAGTTATTGTTCTATAAGATTTTAGACATGGGCATGTTTCCAGAATCTTTGAATATAAGTATGATTATTTCTTTATATAAATCTGGGTCAGTTTGTGAACCAAGTAATTATAGAGGCATTTCACTACTAAATGTTATGGGAAAAATCTTCACGTCAATCATAGAAAAACGATTGAGAATATGGATGGAAATAAATGATTTACTGTCCGAGTCTCAAGCAGGTTTCCGACCTAACTACTCTACTGTTGATAATTTGTTTGTTTTACAAGTTCTTTGTTCGAAATATTTGTGCAAAACCAGAGGTCGCTTTTATTGTGTATTTATTGATTTTTAAAAAGCTTTTGACTTTGTTAATAGGAAAAAAATGATGTATTTACTTGTTACTAAAGGGTGTCATGTTAAAATGTCTGTACTTTTAAAAATCATGTATGCATCAGTCAGTGCATGTACATGTATAAAGGTGAATAATGAACGTACGGACTGTTTAACAACATGGCTGTGTTTGAAGTCCGGTTTGTTTATAGTTTTCATAAATGAACTTGCTATAGAGCTGGAAAATAGTTACCAACATGGGATATTTGTAACACAAGAAATAATGCACGTTATGCTCCTTCTCTTTGCTGATGATGTTGTCATTTTTTCCTATTCTGTAAATAGCTTTACATCCCTGCCAACAGTGAAATCGTCATTATTGGCCAGATAATTTGGAACGTGAACTTAACCAAGGTCTGTTCCACACTACAACCCACTGACAGTGCAGGTATCGACATTAAACAAGAAGGTCTATCTGAAAAGGAACTGGAGTTAGGACTGAACATCATCACCAAGTTTAATGACATCTTTTCAAAAGGGGATGATGACTTAGGCCACAGTACTGCAGTACAACATCGCATCATCAATGATATCCCATTCAAGCAGCGTCATCGCCGAATACCTCCAGCGATGTATGATGAAGTCTACAGTCACCTCCAGCAACTTCTGTCTGCTGGACTGATGAGACCCTCATATAGTCCTTAGGCATCAAATGTCGTCCTAGTACGAAAACACATTGAGATTTGAGAGTATGCGTGGATTATCGCCAGCTGACACACCTGTACCAGTTATAAGATCAAAACCCAAGCTGTCAAGACTTCATTCTGGAGCATCTTACCAGAAAGTCCCTGAGGAATTGACCACAAAGGAGAGTTCAGATGATGATGATGATGATGAAGGCGAGGTTGAAGTGGATATAGATACCGTTCTGGAAGAGGATCAAGGTCCTCAGCAGACATTGTTGAAGTTCCAGATGTTCAGGTAGTGGAACCTAATGCTCCCCCACCCGATGCAGCTTCCAGAACATCGCCACCTGATAGACCTGTGTCTGAAAATCGTAGGAGGAGGATATTGCCAACTCAACCCCTCCGTAGGTCACAGAGGGTACGACCAGGTTGGCAGACCAGTGGAGACTATGTCATGGCAGTATCTGCAGATAAGAATGACGAATGGATCTCTCGGGCGGATTTCCTTAGCTGCCTCATAGCTAAGGGGATATTTTCCAACAAAGCTTCAGATGCTCCAATCGAACTTGTGACTGGAAAACTTTCATGACGAGGGCGTCATTAGTCGGAGGGGAGAAGTATGTAACAGGGATAAAATCAATCATTTTTGACAATTTTATTAATTACATTTTATTATGCCTTGTATATATGTATTAATGGTTGTTCAACAGACTACTGCTTGTTTACAACACTTGTCATAATTAGTTGTCTGTCTATCTCTATCTCGGGTATATTACTCTCATAGCTTAATCAGGTTATTGGTTCAGTTCATTCTTGTTTTAAGGGTAGTCGGATTATTCCATTTTAGTTTAATTGTTTTACTGTCTTGATCAAAGGGCTGAAGGCAAGTTCTTTGTCTTGATTGGTGATTTTGAATATCTCTGTCATTTGCCATCTTAACACCTCTGACCATTTGTCACCACAGTACAAGTTCGCAGGTTAGTTAATATTATTACTTTCCAAACTTAGTCTTTTGTCTAAAAGTATATTAATCTTACTGATTGCATTAAATAACTTATAGTAATCTAATATTTGTCATATTGTAAATAGTTAGTGATTTATGATAATGAATGTTAGAAGATTTCAGTGTAATGGCTGAATATTGTAAATATGGACATAATACTATTTAGGAAATATATATGTTGTCTGCGTTGTGTATTCATGATCGGCAATGTGAATAGTATGTGAAAGTTATTTATCATGAAGGCTACTGCATACGACTTACTGGAGAGGCTGGGCGCCAAGCTACGCTCCATGTCACCCACAGGGTATGTCTTTGTTATAGTTTGTTTCATCTTAATATGTCCGATGCAAATGTCATATTGTATATATTTTACTGATACTATACTATATGCCTGTTTCAATTACTAGTGTATAAATGTTTCGTATAGTATCAGTAATGTTCAGCTGGTAGGTAATATATAGGTATTTGTTCATGAGTTAATGTGATTAACTTATTATGAACTTCTTTATGATTTATATATTCATGTGATAGATGTGTTTTGGAATACATATTGCCTTCTTTACTGATTTATATATTCATGTGATAGATGTGTTTTGGAATACATATTGCCTATTTTATTGTTATAACAGAGTGTCATGGAATAGCCACACTACATAGCGGGAATAAACAGGTGTCTCACACCCCACCGCCTTGGTCCTCATTCAGCTGGACCAGCAGAGACTGCAACATTTGGAAAGGGTTTTATCGCTTTTTTGTATTCTGAGCTCATACACATGTTCATTAACTGCATTAAGGGTGAATTTGGATATGCATGGATAGAACAAGAAGTTGGGGATAAAAATGTTTTTATTTCCATGTTTAAACAGACACTTATTTGACAACTTGCAGCAAACCTGGAGTGTAAATGTGAACAGTTTATCTGACTCTTATTCCTATAAACATTTTAAATCGCTACTAAATGTTGAATATTACTTACATTCACCACTTCCATCTCACTTAAAAAGGATTTTATCACGCTTCAGATGCAGTAACTTTCCAATAGCAGTAAATACTTGAAGATACCATGCCACACCATATGAAGAAAGACTCTGTCCTCTCTGTCTGTCTAAAAATAAGTACTTTATTGAAAATGAATATCATGTATTATTAATTTGTGAATCCTACAGCCCCCTTCGTAATGCACTTTAATATAAATATATTACCTCTAACCTTCAGCATAACTTTATCTCTATTATTTCCTCAGATGCATATTATACCTTATATAAGTTTGTTGTTTGTAAATATGTAATTTTGCGCAGGCTTTGTGTATTCCTGCATATGTATGTATTTTGGGCCAGTGGCCTTTTATTGAATAAATTGTCTGTCTGTCTGTCTGTCTATTAAGGGTGACTGAAAAGGGCGTAATGTTCCAATCAACATGTAATACACCTCTTGGTATCTACCAATTGAAATGTTTTATTTCAGTTTCCCCAAATATAATTCAAACAGGTACTGTCTCAAAATTACTTGACTGACTTGATATGTCTTGATAATATTTCTCAACACCTATCCCAAATGGAACAAGTCATACATGCGCATGCATGCATTGTCGAATGCACATTTATCATACTCTGAAAAGCAAAATAGTTCATACATAATTCACCAAAAGGTTAAATTATATACTAAAAGTTGTACATTCGAAATTCGTAATCAGGACACTGCTGTTAACAGGATGTCATTGAAACTAAGTTGTCTCCAGCAGACATGTTTCTGTGTCGGTTGACGTATGATTCCCGGAACATCAATTTGGCAGGGCCCCAGGAACTGTTCGGTTTCAGGGATTTCTTGAATCTCTGTAAAGTATAAGCATAAGATACTCCCTTGAACATAGTAGATTAACACTAAACAAATTGCAATAAATAAGTCTCACGAGGCTGCAATCAAGGAAATTTTAGGGTCATATTAAATACTTACTTTGTGCTGAAAAAATATATCAGCAATTTTCAACTGTTTATATTTCCTACTTGTGACGACTCATCTATAAACACCTCTGGGGGGAATTCCTGAGTAGGATATGTTTGCAGTAACTCAAGTTTGTCACTGAACCCTCTTTAAATGGTTATCGGGAGGTCAAAATGTATACATGTACTGTGTGTGTACTCATAACCCTTTGCTACTACTTTCCTGACCACACTCAACTGATTTTGTTTGTTTGTTTGATATTTAACGCCGCACTCAGCAATATTCCAGCTATGTGACGGCGGTCTGTGAATAATCGAGTCTGGACCAGACAATCCAGTGATTGTCAGCAGGAATATCGATCCACGCAATGGGGATCGATGACATGTATCAACCAAGTCAGCGAGCCTGACCACCCGATCCCGTAAGTTGCCTTTTACCACAAGCATAGTCGCCTTTTACGGCAAGTATGGGTTGCTGAAGACCTATTCTAACCCGGATTCTTCACGGGTCCACACTCAACTGAATACAGGCCGCTAGGATAGCCATATTAGCTGTCATGTAGATGCTTGCTAGGCGGAATATGTTTTTATCAAAACACTAGGATAGTCTTCATGGTGTCGTCAAGAATTCTGCAGTTCCATGTCATAGTGTGGATAGGTTCTAGGATGGCATGCGTTATCTAACCCCGCCCTTTTGTGCAATCAAGTACATGTTCTGAAACCTTCTCCCCAAATGAATTTACATCATTTCCTGTCATTAACTTTACATGACTGCAAAGAATACTAAGTTAAACATCAAATCCTAATTAAGAATGTGCATAAATGGAAGTACCTGAATTATGGTCCCTTCCTCCGAGTAGATAGCTATAAACATCATTAGGAACACTGGAATGCATGGAATGGATGCTAGACACCATCCAATAGAAGCAGAGTAGTCGGGATAAACATATGTGCCATATTTTGGAGGCTGGTACTGGACCAGAGTGGAGATGAATATTATCTGAAACGACAAAGTAAATATTAAACCTTTGAATGGCATTTAGAAGTGATACACCTAATAGGGAGATTTTATGAATGTCAACGTCTTAATCATTTCGGGGTATATGCTTTCTCTTTCATCAGGTGAATGAATGTCAAGATGCAGAGAGCATATATATGTACATGTAAAAACGACATAAGTGATAAGATAACAAAGATGGAAACATTAGCAAGTGACGACAACAGTTAGGGAAGCGAAGGTTTGCTTGAGTTGGTTCAGTTCACTACTGGGGCCATCAGGATGACAAATGGATTTGGCACGTCTGGTGAGGGTGGCGATGATGGCTTGTTTTAACTGGAGATGGTGGAACACATCATCAAGAACCAAGTCCCTAGCATCATGTTGGAGGCTACCAAAGTCTTGTCCACCACCAAAAACAACTGGCGTCAAAGGAAACTACAAAAAGCCGTTGGCATCAGGAGAGCCAGCCACGAACCGTGACCAGGAAACACATCTGCCTGAGCTTGGGACTTATTTGTTAATTACTCTGTGTCACCATCTATCTGACGCATTATGTTCCCCCTCCCCCTTCCCTTCAAAACTTATTAACCCAGCTGACTTCCATTTGTCCATTGCTTATTACCAAGCAGTGCTAATTAAATTTCTGCCTTCTATTTTTCAGTTGTTTATAACCATGTGTTGATTGTATACTATTTGTTTGTTGTTTGTTGGTTTCAAACTACGTTCTTTTACGTACATATTTCTGGTTTAACATATTGTTACAATTTGGGAATCGGCACGTAAGAGAAATATTACTTTCTCGACATCTTATCTCCAACCTCTGTAATTGCTTACACGTATATAGCAGCAGCATCGTAAAATGGTTGTATTATTGAACAGATAAAAAAAAAATATCCAGACAAATGCTTGGCCATCCCTTTATGCAACCAGGCTAAAACAATTCAGGGCAGTGCCTTTTAAACAAATCAAATTGAAATATCATTTGAATCCGTCTTGTCTCTGATAGTGTTAAATACATACATTTATGTATTCATACCTCATACATGATACAAAGACTCCTTACAATGTATCATGATACGATAAGAGAGACGTATCAGGAAATTATCTTCATGATATTAATGTATCATGAAACGATAAGAATGGCGTATAAGGAAATTATCTTCAAAATATGAAACAGTCCATAACAATACTACTGGAAGATATTATTAGTGATTATTTAGTAAGTGATCCTCACCAAAAGCATAGCAGGTGTGATGTAACACCAGGTGATTCTGAAGAAAAAAGGGGCCGGTCTCCCTATCATCAGTTCAATATCGGCACTGACACGATTTACTCCTGAAATGAAAACACATACCAAACACTTGCCAAGGGATTGCACATTTTTGTAAGGAACACTAGGTAAAGTAAAATGTAATTTAAAGGGCTGGAAAATTGATTTGGAGTTTGGCAAGTAAATTACATTACAAGTTTGCATTTGTCAAACAAAAGACTAGAATAGCCTCTTAAGCCCTCGCCATGCTTACAAGTAGTATTTGTATTAAGTATCTACGAAACTATCCAGTGATGAACTTGTCCGATTCTAATAATTTGGTCAAGGTGCAAAGATCAAATGATGGTCAATCTTCGTTATTTTGCCACAAGTCCTACACGTTGATGGTATTGCTGAATGAATATATTTGGTGCAAAACTAAATTACTGAATTCCACGTTTGTTTTCATTCTCTTGTTACAGTCGATTCGAATCTGTGTACTGGTGATTATCTATCTAGGTTTGTCAGCACAATAACCATGTTCGTGGGTTTCGCGGGTGTGGTAAACGTCTAAGACTCCCTCTCATTTCAAGCTCACACTTTGCTGTATAACTGAAATATTCTTTAAAGCAGCGTTAACCCCACACCAGTTACTCACTCTTGTTAACCAGTGGGGAATCCGGGTGAGCAATGGTCTCTAGCAGCTATGCTGGGCTCATAAGGCGACTAAATAGATTGGGTGGTAAGGCTCGGTGACATGGATGATTGCCTTTCGTCGTACCGGCGTTGATCGCCGCTCATAATATGAATCACTGGAATGGCTGGACTCGTACTTACAGGCCACATGACAGCCGGATTGATGTTTGGGATGACTGAGTTGGGTTTAACGCCGCTTTTAACGGTATTATAGTTATATCACGGCGTGTCAGCTTAATGTGGGATGAAAAAGCGATGCAGGTCTCAGACGTTTACCACCTCGGTGAAACCCACGAGCACGGGTATGGTGCTGACAAACCTTGAAACATAATCGGGGCGAACCGGGAATCGAACCAACAATCATAGGTTTCTGGCGTGCCCAAACGACGCAACTCTGCACAGCGAATTGCGGCGCCTTAGACGACTGGGCCACCCGTGCCCCCGGAATGTTGTTGAGTGCTGCGTTAAACCAGCTCACTCACTCACTCAACCAACTCACCCACCCACTCAACCCACCCACTCAACCCACTCACCCACCAAACGTGATACGAGTCTTCAGAAAATCTGAGTACTTAGTCACGGACACATTTCCAAATGCAGTAACTTTAAAATATATATTTTAAACATCATCACATGTCGACGCACATGTTGTACATTTTTTGCCAAGCTATCATCTGAGTTTTGGACTGAACCCACATCCATCACAGTCTTACCATAGACCCATGCCAGAATTATGCACTCTAAGAAACCGGCAAAGATGAGGAACACGGTCCCAAAGTACCAGTCAACCAGTTGGAAAACGTACATTCCGCCCTGAAAAATGATCACCTTAAACCTTGTTCAAGAACATTTTTTAGAGTATATGCAAATTACAGGAAACAAACATTTATACATACAATTTCATGACTTATTTACGTGAGAAGATTATTCAAGTTATGCACATGATGTGTCTTTTATCTTCTGAATGCAAATTAGTGTACCGTGCAACAAAAAAGTTCAACAAATGTTTTGTTCCAAACCTCAGTGATGAATATAAGCCCAAGCAGGAAGGATATGGTACAAAACACAGCATTGACAGACATTCTCCACTTCAGCAGAAAAGGGTATTCATCCATGATGGCCGATATTACAGTTTCCACCATTGCAAACTATTGGACGATATCAAACATAAAACATCATGTTTGTTACCTTTACTTTTCGATAGCTCATTGTCAGATATTCTTTCATTTTGCATAGTGATAACTTCACAGACGTCAGATCATATTTGTATTCAGTACACTTAGAATGGCCATGTTCAAAGTTAATGTCAATCACATATCGTGGTCCTCGTCCACATAGTCTTACAAACAGTGCTTTATGAATGATTTTATAATCTGAATTTCCTTGGCGCTCTTTCACTCTTTATCCCGAAACATCCGAAAACAAAAATAAACGTCCCATCTGGTTTATGTACCCAAATACTGCAGCATCCCACACTTATATATTCGTGTTTGTTTTATGTCGTTGTGTATGTATATTAGATGGGTTTTTTTATGATATAATGAATATAAAATATTCTTGTTTCAACTTCCTGTCATTTATTTTCTCACCAGCGAATCCAGTGTCAAGACAAAAAGCAAAATGAAGAACATGATACTCCACAGCTGAGGAAGCGGAAGTTGAGCCAAGGCTTCTGGGTAAATAACAAAACCAAGTCCTGGGCCTAGAAAGTGAATCAACATTGTTTGGGACATACAAGTGGATGGGGAAATCATCAAATGTGACCAACCGTGAAATAAGGGACCTTATGAGTGAAAATCACATTTTGACTTATTAAATGCTAATGTCCAGTTTCCTATGACCACAAATTCAAACTTCATAAGTTTCAATTCATATTTATTGCAGAGATACATGGTATCAAACATTTGGACTCATTTTCTGCAAAGTCCCTTTTCAGACGTATAACTCTGTATGTAACGATTTCAGTTTTTAGATGTAATGTCTGATTAATTGAAAGTAGACATGTATGATTAAATGTTTTGAAAATTTAATAATGTTTTTATTATGTTACGAACTATGGAGAGAGAAACAGAATATTTTTGTACAGTTGGCACACATGGCGATTTATACGGAAGTAAGTTGACGTCAAATGTCTTTCTTTATGACGTCAAAGCACAATTATATCCTCGCACCAATAAGGTTCCTTTTTCTCCTGGTGGCTCACATTAATTTTGAGATCAAATTATTCTGCATAAACGTAAAGTTTGAATACAGCCTTCATAATTAAGGTTATGGAAAGTTATATTTCTTGTGAAATTCATTTTTAAATCAACAGAAATAAACACATACCCGAGGATATGACATCTGTGATGGGAACATCAGCTTCATTAGCAATAAATCCTAGAACGGAGAATGTCACCACACCAGCAAATATGCTTGTTCCTCCACACACCAATGTACAGATGATTGAATTCCTTTAAATCCAAGGTGTATATTGAAAAGTCAATAACAGCAGCACATATCCCATCATGCGCATACCCTCAAACACAATGATTTGACGAAAATAGAAGAGGGAGTACATATGTTGGGCGAGCCTTTAACTATAACTGGTGAAGGCGTCTTATCAGCTAAGGGTATTGATAACCATATTAAAACGATCCCCTAAAGGGGAGACTGCAAATGAAATTAATATCACATAATATCTTATGTTCTTTCGCTGCTGATAATTCGTTGGTGCTTCAGGGAAGGCAGGACATGATTACTCTCTTCGTGAACACCTGGTGTCATCGCTGATTTCAGTGGTCCATTCAGATAATTTTCACGGTTATTTTGCTCTTTACGCCAAATGGGTAATATAGACTGATTATTCTCTTGCACTGACATTTATATTTGCTGTCCTTATGATCGAGTGCACTGATCTAATGGTGCTTGTCATTGGGTTACGTGGTTTACAATATGTTCATAATGTAGTTCTGTAAATACACATTATAAAGAATCCCAAATACTACTTAACACAAATCTCAAAAGCATTGAGAAAAGGGTTCAATGTGAAGTGAAATTACTGGAAAAAAATCGAAAACAAAATACAAAAAAGGAAAAAAAAGTTTCTTATGCGTACCAAATACGATTTTATTTGCGCCCGCGTTATGCATACCACACTGCTGAATCCCTAACACCATCTAAATAGACCGCGTGCCCAAAGGGGGTCGGCAGCCTATTTCAAGGAACTTGAGTATGGGAACTCGTGACAGATAGGGGACTGCTCGCGGCAGAAGAAGTACTTGTGACAGTACTTTATCTGTATAAAATGAACAAATGCGAGAACAACAGGGTTAGGTTTCTCATCGACATTTGTTCTTGCAACTGTACCTTTATATCCATATGAAGTCATGATACTCATATGATAAGTGTTAACAGAGATTGGATAAAGGATAAAGAAATGTATCACCTGAGACAGTTAGCATGAAATGGGTTGAAGCTCGCCAGTGATATAATGCCTCCCCACGCCGGGCCGAGTGAAAAGAACACCTGCACACAGGCTTCCAGCCACACCTACAACAGTTGGTGGGAATTCAGACATTCTCAAAATCATGTCGAATTTCAATTTCATTTAAATCAGATCTCAATTCTGTTATGTGACAATGTAATTTATTGTTAAATAATGTTGTAATTGCATTACATTTGTTTCTGTTGAGATTTCGTAGAAGTCATAGCTTTGTGTTTTGACAATGGTAAGTTGTCAGAAATGTTGTGCTATCTAATGTAAGTAGTGGTGTGGAAGTTATTATATCTAGATGCTGTTGGAGTCAAGCGTAATCTGGTATCTTCTAGAACAGCTAGACGAAGCACAGTATATAACCTCCTAGAAGGTATTTAGACTATATGAGGGGAGCAAGGGCGCGCCTCTCTCATCTCACATTACATCAAGACCAACGGTTGTGTATTCACCCTGAATATCCAGCCTAGGTATATGTTGTAACCTTTAACACTGTTGCATCCTCTATAGCTCAGGGGCTCATATTTCGGTAAACCTACACAAACCCCTGGATCCATTCCCGTGGTTCTCGCAATCTCAAATTACCCGCCCTTGATTTAACGTAAGCCAATTTGATAGGCTACGCTACTAAGTCTAACGTATCAATCAGAATACTAGTTACAAAACAGCCTCCACGTTGGGTTTTCGATATCAACACCATGGCGGCCAGCACCATTGATGACGCTAGAGTTTGCGAGAAATTCAACATTGAAATACAGACACACGCAAGAGGAAGCCCTAAAAAATCTTTTTGATGGAAAAGATGTCTTTATGTCAATTAAAACTGGTGGTGGCTTTGGTTTCTAGGCAATACGCGTTACATCCCTTACCCATTTTCATTTTCCTTATCTCGTTTGATTGATCAGTAAAATGTTAATGAAAAAGAAAAGCAGGTAATTTAAGCTCGTGTAAAGCTCGCGAATGAATTGATGGGTTAGTGTAGGTTTCCTGAAAGGCCTGGAGATTCCACTGTTGCTGCTAGGTGAATGTTATCACTTACTTCATTGCTGTTACCACTGATAATGTATTTTATACTGACATTGAATTTTACCATACAATCTCGGCTAATCGGTTTGACATTCCAGAATGGTCTTTTGTTCAGTTTTCAAAATTTGAATTTAAGTGTAGTCTGGAATGGGTTGAAACTAGTGCCGTAAGCATCTAGAAAGTTGCTTTCTGATTGGCTAATGTCGACATCGTGTGTGCATTGATCGGTCAAAGTTTGCGAATGGCCGTTCTCACGTGACCTGAAATTGGATGGTCTCAGATCTTTGTGTAGCGGTAGCGAGCGCTTCTAAAGATCTGTTTATGATGACATTGTATCGAATTTATTATTATGAGTTGATTAAAGGAACAACGGTTTTCAGGTTTCTCAAAGAATTATTATTTACGAGAAATGATGTCAGTTTCCAATTTCATATCATAAAGCCATAGATAAAGGATAAATATTCCCACCACACTATTATTTATTCACCTGTATATGCAGGAGTTTGCTGAAATCTGGGGTGATGAAAAACAGAGCGCCTTTAAGTCCTCCAGGTAAGGTTAAACCACGGATAAGCAGGACGGTGAGGAAAATGTATGGCAGTGTCGCTGTCACGTAAACTACCTGAGAGAAAACAGTGGAAATGTTCGTATATATTTAACACACCAACACTCATGAGTGATAACATATGTTTTCATGCCTCATCCCTCACATGAAATTCAGACCGCCTTCATGGTCTAGCGTCTACCCGGAGAGCACACACACGCAGAAACACACACACACACACACACGCACACGCACACACACACACACACACACACACACACACACACACACACACATGCACATGCATGCACGTTGCTATATAAGTGCTATCATCTTGAATGCGATGTTAAACCCCCCTTAACATCACCTCACCTTCAATTTGGCAAACATGAAATAAGTATAGACAACAGGAACAATCAAAACTAATTATTTCACACGGAACGCCTAGTATCCCCAAAACTGCTTTACGCCAAGAGTTCTTTTGCTTCGCAGTACTTACTCAGCGAGTGCGAAACAGGACAGAACGGTATGAAACATTTGTATAATACTTAAAAGCACATTAAATAAGATAGATAGATAGATAGATAGATAGATAGATAGATAAAATACAAAAGTCCAAAGTTGAGCTGTATAACTAAAGTTTTACTCAAGATATATATATCGTGGTGTTATATTATGTAACGTATAAAGATTTTCATGTTAAAATAATTAAATAACCCTTTGATGAAAAAAGGGCAACTGCATCTGGGTTCATAAGTTGACATTCACAGGAATGAAGTTAACAGGGAAAGGAATCATTATAACTCCGCACTGGTAACGAAACTCTTCAGTGATATATCACAGCTCTTCAAAGCAAACGTACACGTACCAAATACATTTTTCAAACATATTGATAGTTAATGCTTACCTTTCCGACGGACATTACACCCTTCATAATGCAGACGAATATAAGAATGTAGGAAGCTGAGAGACACAAGGCCAATTCCCACTGGATACTCCCCAGTTGATCCAATCCAGAACTTAGGCCAAGGACCTTGTTCCTGAATATATATAGAGAATACTACACTCATTCTCGTTAGATACCATTTTTACGAAACGAGTGGACTTTCTATGGTATCTGACCGAGCGAAAGCGAGGTCAGATAACATAGAAAGTTCACGAGTTACGTAAAAATGGTATCTAACGAGAATGAGTGTGGTATTTTATTTATTACCCACGTTAAATATGTATGTTAGTGTAAATACATAACAACTTTTGTTCGTTGACAGACCAAACTGAAACCAGTTGCAAAATCTGGTTGTGCATGAATATTGATATATGCCCAAATATGGGCATTGTTTACATTCCTATGCATACGCATTAACAACATGCGCCTGCAATTGTGTTTGCAAACATAACAGCACCGACGCTCAAGATCCTTTGGAAGAATTTCTTCAACTTATGAGAATTCAAGCGCCATGGTGTTAGTACGCAGGACACCTATAAGAAAATTTTGAAAAGTCACATAAGCGCCGCGCTTTGAATATCGGACCAACAGTCGGGCACTCGCACTGCCGGGGTCTGTGCATTCAAGATGGTTCGGTTTCCTTGATTTATCATTTGAATTTATATCATGTCCGTACCATTTTGGAAGAGGGAAATCAAAGACATTCATGTTTACTGTACCACCCTTTACTGAAGACGTGAAAATCAACACGCTAAGTCTGCTTGTCTTCAGCGACAGCTTCGAACGAAGGGCAAGGTCACCACCGGAATAAGAAAAGACAACCCTGACCTACTCAGCGTTTTACGCCAGAGATAGGGAATGTCATTGTTCACCTTTTGGGATATTTTAGGCCACATAATCAGAAATCAGGCACACTTCTACGGAGCTTTCGAATGATTTGTATCGGAAATGTTCACTTTGAGTGATCTGGTTGTGCAGTCGTGAACAAACAACTCCCGAAACAGTGCCACAAAATACGCTTCGAAGAGGACACTGATGGCACAACCGGATCATCCCAAGCAAGTCTAGATATCTGTCCAGATAGATTAAACTGACTTCATTTCACCACGCTTATCCTTTTACGTTAAATCAAATTGAAAGTTGCGAAAGTAGTCGGGTGCGTCACGCTCATGTGGACCCTCGATCTATTGAACGGTAGTCGAACATTGTAAATGGATATAGCTCGATTATGTAATGTCTGTGGAAGCTCAATGCATAACTTATATAATGCAAACAGAATTTGATGCGTGTGACTATCTTGTTTGGTTTAATGAAGTGTTTGTTAATATCCCTCGCTCACATGAGATTGCTTCAGTTCTGCCTTGTAGTTGCCAAATGAATGACGTCTCGCGATTTTTTATGAATGAAAAAAGTAGTCCCGGTATGACAGAGGTCACGGTTATCTAATCAAAACGAATAAAACAAGGTCAATCTTGTACGACACACGTGTGAGGTACGGATTTAGTATCTTACCACCTGTATCTTCACCACGTGGGTAATAAATAAAATATGTTATATTGTATCAGTGAACACTACATGTGGATACTGCCAATCCAACATCATGGAAGTGGTTGTAGATATTATCAGTGTTTCTTAAGAAGATCTTGATAAAATAGAAAGAAATAAAACCTCATGATGTGAAGGTCATACACTTGATCCTATTCCAGAACATTCGATTATAAGGTCATCACAGGAAATAAGAGTGAGTGAGTTGGTTTTAACGCCGCTTTTAACAGTATTCCAGTTATATCACAGCGTGTCAGCTTAATGTGGGAGGAAAGCCCGAAGTGATGCAGGTCTCAGACATTTACCACTTCGGTGAAACCCACGAGCACGGGAATGGTGCTGACAAACCTTAAAACATTACTGGGCGAACCGGGATTCGAACCCACAATCATAGGTTTCTGGTGTGCCCAAGGGACGCAACTCTGCACCGCGAATCGCGGCGCCTTAGACGACTGGGCCACCCGTGCTCCCAGGAAATATGAACACGCCAAGAGTTTTCTACATAACACATAACAGGCATTCGTACTCTGTCTACAGTTTGAACAGGGATACATTAATAATTTCCCGTGGAACAAATTTACATTTGTACAATGGTAAATGTCCAGGTCAAAGTTGTGTCAAAGGAAACCATTAGAAATGGTATCACGTGTAAATTGGCAACATTTATCAATTTTTTTCCATATGCCGCATACATAATGTATTTTAATTCCCCAATGATTCAAATATGAGACGCTGGCTGTTATTGCAACCACCCACACATGTTTCAATAACAAAGGCCTGAGAAATGAGAATATATCAACGACCACAATGGACTCCCGGGCGGGATGGACAGACATACGCCAGATCAAGTCACTAGACATTCCACGAAACTACCACAGTTCATGCACTTATTCAAAATGACAGATTACACCCACTTAATAAGTATCAGAGTTTTGTCAGCAACGACTGGCATGTTGTTTGTTTGTTGTTTAACGCCGCACTCAGCAATATCCCAGCTATATGACGGCGGTCTGTAAATAATCGAGTCTAGACCAGACAATCCAGTGATTGACAACATGAGCATCGATCAACGCAGTTGGGATCGATGACATGCATCAACCAAGTCAGTGAGCCTGACCACCCGATCCCGTTAGTCGCCTCTTATGACAATCATAGTCGCCTTTTACGGCAAGCATGGGTTGATGAAGACCTATTCTAACCCGGATCTTCACGGGCCAAATAGCATGTAATGCATGCATTTATATCTGTATACATACTGCCAGAATTCTTCTGCTGCCGTCTGAGATAATGAGTCGTTTCTCAACCATGCACGTTCACCAAGCTCTCTGGTGCCATTTTTTGGCAGGAGGGATGACTTGTTGTCTGGATATGAAAGGAAGATAAACTAACACTGGATTGAAAACCGAGTAGCATGTGTCACCAATTAACAGTTTTGAGTACGTTTTGCAATATCTAATCATCAATATGGATGATACATTTCTAAATACAAACTTCTTTTAATGCATGAGCCTTTGTGTATTATATTCTGGTATACAAGAAAGGTATATCTTAATATTTATAGAGAATGTCACTTTCAGAAATGAAATGCTTGTGCTGGTCACGTCAGCTCAAACCCATCCCCACTTCCCAGTGAGTGAGAGAGCGGGTTGTTTGTTTGTTTGTTGTTTAACGCTGCAATCTATTCCAGCTATATGACGGCAGTCTGTAAAATATTCTAGGCTGGACTAGACAATCCAGTGATTGACATCATGAGCATCGACCCACGCAATTCGGATACGATGACATACATCAACCAGGTCAACAAGCCTGACTACCCGATCCCTCTTATAAGCATAGGCGCCTCTTACGACAAGCATAGGTTGTTGAAGACCAAGTCTAACCCGGATCTTCACGGGTACGGATAGTATGTAAGTTATATAACAGTGTGTCACTTCAATCTGGAAGAAAAGCCCCAATGATGTTTACCACTTTGCTGAAACCTGCGAGCACTGGCAGTGTGCTGGCAAACCAAGAATCGTAATCAAAGCGAACCTGGAAATTGCACCAACGATCATAGGATTCTCGCTTGCCAAAGGGTCTTAATTCTGCACACCGTTCCCAAACTTTCCAATGTAGTGTTTCATGTACGTAAGAACATACACATATTCCAATCTCTTGTCATGGCTAATAGTGTAACAGGTGAGGTGAGGTGAAATGGGGTTTAACGTCGCGTCCAAGATTATTTCACTTATATAGCGACGTGCATGTACGTGTGTGTGTGTGGCTGCTTGTACTAGTCCGGACTGATGCCGATTTATAGTGCTAGCTCATTGAGATACCATGCCGCAGATTAACATGCATACCCCACTCAGACACAGTATACTGACTCCGAGCCGACCAGTTTTAGCCCCTTAATGCCGAGCGCCAGAAAGGGTAACAACAAGTACCATCTTTTAACGTCTTTTGGTATGACGCGGTCGGGGATCGAACCCCGGACTTTCCGCCCTCCGGGCGGACGCTCTACCACTAGACCACGGAGGCGGTCTAGTGTAACAGGACTTGACATGATGATAATTTCAAAATGTATTTTGTTACCGCACATTGCTTATGTCATACGTTCAGTGGGCCTTTGTGTCAACACTTCAACACGTCTAACACAGGCATCGGTATTCCAGGAGTGACCACAGTCTGCCCAGGGAAGGACAGCGCTGCAGGATGTGACAGTGTAGTACGTCATCCAAGCACAGTTAACAGTAAGGTAAACCGTAGAACCACCAGACATAAACAGCATGCCGATTCCAAGACCTGACATGAACATGAAAAAACCTTTATCTGTCCATTTACAGGGTCATATATTCCCTGAAATATCTGACCAAAACACAAACTCTATCAAAAGACATTTGGCGGAACTGACATAAAATAACCATTTTTATCCATTTACATGACCCATCGAAAACAACTGCGGACAACGGCTCCTCAATACCGCGTCTACGGGTCAGAGAAGGTGATGTCTAATACATCATATGCATTTACGATACCACATGTGTTGACAGAAAATGTCGAGACGAGTTTAATTTTTCTATCTGTTAATTTTTTTTTCTATTTCTAACTTTTTTAATCAATCACAAAATGTAAACATTTGATTTCCCCAAAAGTGTGTGACAATCAGTGGCTCCTGCTGTTTGAAAACCTACAGCTCGACATAAAAGCGACATAAAAATCTCTGCCAAAAGCAGAGTCGACTTACGATTCCAACTGTATCATGAGCATGTGATTATGAATCATTATCAAATAGTGATGATAACAAAACAGAAAAACAATCCAGCATGCTGAATAATCAAAGACCTTGACCTTGACAGATTTGTACGTTTTTTTTGTTCAGGTAAACAAGCATGTTCATTTTCTGGACATAAGTATCTTATGCCTGTTATATGTAAAAAATAATCACCATAACTAACATAATTAACTGGAAGACCACTATGTAAGCAAAGTTGTTATTCCGTAGTCTACCAGAGCATCATATAGAAGCATACCTTTCATTAAAGGACATACGCTCCATACATGGGCTGCGCTTTTCCCATAAAATTGACCAAAGGCAGCTTCAAGGAAAAACACAGGGAGCCCGCAAAGCATCAGACACACGAAGTAGGGGATTACGAATGCGCCTAGACACAACAAAGCAGTGGCAAAAATAATTGTATAACACGTATAATAAACATAAAAGAAATCTAATTTGGCGAACATGATCTCTTCTTCCTGCTGGCAGACACCTCTCTCATGTTTGTTTGTTTGTTTGTTTTACGCCGCACTCAGCAATACTCCAGCTATATGACGGCGGTCTGTAAATAATCGAGTCTGGACCAGACAATCCAGTGATTGATATCATGAGCATCGATCAGTGCAATTGGGATTCGATGATATGCATCAATCAAGTCAGCGAGCCTGACCACCCGATCCCGTTAGTCACCTCTTACGACAAGCATAGTCGCGTTTTACGGCAAGCATGGGTTGCTGAAGACCTATTCTTCCCCGGATCTTCACGGGTCACATGCCTCATGTACATGTCCTTTGGCCTCTCACTTTGTAGTCACGTATGTTATAATGATTCGCTTTAAACCGTATCATAATAATTCTTATGTTACCTCCACCGTTTACGATGCAGAGGTATTGAAAACGCAACAGGTTTGAAGGGCCAACGGAATAGCCAATAATAGACAGCAGATAATCGATCTGAGATCCCCATGTTCCGCGGCTTTCTTCCTCCTCATCGCTGTTAGAATGGTTGTTGTCGCCTGAATCCGAAATAGGGACCACTTCAGCTGCTCGTCGCCCTTCTTTCCCAGGAAAATCCATCTGCGAAAACAAAAGAAATATATACGTATTAGGAGTTTCAGTGTGATTGGAGTAAAGGGAGGCTTCTCTCTGATACAGGTATAAACAGTTTGTATTTGCATTCGTCAAAAATAGCTCGCAGAGATTGCATCGTGGTTCATGCTTTTGATCATCATAACACCCAGATTCGAATTCGTTTTCGTTACTCCGGTGCATTTGTATATTATGACATGACTTGAATACTGCAAACAGTAGCGTTAATCTGTAATCACTAACATATAGGCCAGCGGAAGAACTGTTAATTCATAAAGCATCAGTTTCCAGACGCACAAAGAATCATCATTTCAACTCGTCAAGAACATATTGTTCGTTATGCACTGGCTAATTTGTATCGATAAGAACTTGTTACAAACACGTTGACGGAGAAACAAGTAATTTTGTTCCATTTCAATTACATAACATTTACACGGTTTTGGATAACAATTCATTCAAAGAAATACAATATGACAGCTTGACCAAGCTTATTGAAATTATATCTATTACAAGATATGATGGAATAATATTTTGTTAACTTAAATAATTCAGTGACCTCATTCTGTAAAAATTTGAATGTTGGTGGACAGTTATTATTTCTAAAACTGGAAATGATTCGTTTTGACAAAATAATGATAATGTTTGAAGGACTGGGTTTTGTTTCGATAAAGAACTGAACAGAACATTTTCTTTGGATTTGCTTTTCAAACTTTGTATTTTCTGCGATATCCAAGTTTCTATGTCTCGATGGAGCTCACTTTGTTGCATTCCCAAAATATATGTCCAACATCTTTTTCATTAGAACATTAGCTACAACGTGTTTTGCCTTAGTATCCCATTTTATTAAGACAGTCTGTTGGCAATATTGTAGAGTAAGTTCAAACTTTGGTAATCGTTGACTTCAACAGTACTGTTTAACAGGGTGAAGAATACCCGTGTAGGTTAAAAAGTTGGTTTTCACATTGAAAACGGTTTCAAAAGTTTCAAATGACATGAAACCTGTCTTTAAACGTTAAAGTACAAACCCATGCGTTGTATTTATATTTGGTCTGTGATTATCCCCAAAGAAGAAAGTTGAATCCATAGTCCACTGACTAATGAAAACGGACATATGCTTCATGTTCCCTCATATCCTAGTTTTCGGCTGGTCTCACGGAACAGCTATAAAATTACAAACATATTTACCAATAGTTATCTAAGTACAGATATGATGTAGTAAATTGTTTTTCAACTACAGCTACACATACCTGGGAGCCAGGGAACCCATTCATCATAGGACTGTCAACAGTGGGAAATAAGCAAAATATTTAACGCCATAGTGTGCCTTACACATTAGATCATTATCCATGTGGTGTATCGTAAACAAGTATTGTTATACGGGTCATAACATTTGCATGAAAATTTATTGATGCTTGTACTTCTCACATGTAAAATTGCCATTCTGGAGCGGGACTGGAAAAATATACTCGACATACCATGGAAATAACTCCATATGAATTTGGGACTTCGTTTTATAAGCTATTTCTACCACGTACATCATTCAGTTAACCAATCGTCTATACCCACTATTGGATGAATATGCTGTTAGATATTATATATATTATTCTACTGTTAATTATTTAGAGTGCAAGAAGGTGGTTTAACGTTGTTAAATGGAATTGGATCCCGCACACCTGTTGGACCTTTCGCTGTGTTTGAATACTTTTCTGGGTGGGTTTCTTTTCTTCTTATTCCAACTATGTTTATAACAAGGTTATTGTAGTAATTCCACTTTCAATCATGTCACTTCCAATTTCGGAAAATCTCATTTAAATTATTAGTACATCCGGTTTCAGAACACACCTTCTCCCTCCATTAGGCCATGCTTCTAGCTCAGTTCGAAGCGAAGTAATTGGTACTTGTGGTTTGGACTTTGACACTTCCGGTTTGTAAAATATGGTTTACTGCATTACCAGCAACTTCATTGGTACGATGATACCTGTGCAGAAGGACTTTAAGTTCAAGTCCAATTTATTGTCATTGAAACTGGTGGGGGATAAAAAGCGATTTCAAATTTGCAAAAACAGACAACATCCACTGCTGCCATTGGTCACACGTGTAGAACCCGCCCGTCACTTTTGTGCAACGCGTTTAACATGGGTGTGCACCCAGTTCGCCACTCGTGTGCAACCCGTGACACACGCACTTTGGAGGGTACAATCTTTTTTACCAAATGAGGACCTATGTAAACCGAAATTGGAGGTTGTTAGAAGGAAAGCAATCTATGATGCCCTGACGAAAATGTTGAAACATATGATATGTACTTACTGATGTCAACTTTTTAGATGTGATTTTGTAGGAAAATATGAGTACTGTTGTGATCAATCCGATCTTAATTATACGACCATTGACTTCTGCGTGATGTTTTGCGATGGTGGCATTTATCTATAAAACGTATCATGTAAAATATGTGGTAAGTAAGATGGTAAATAATAATAATAATGTAATCGCATTAAAATACAATTATAACAAGATACATCTGTAATCCTAAAACTTATGTTCCACATGCCCAGAATTGCCAGGAGGAAAACTGATTCAATATAGAGAAGAAGCTTGTACACAGCTGGAGACATCATCTGAATATGACTATATAATTATGTAAATGATACTCAATTTGTCGACACGAACTAAGGCTATACATATCATACCACCAGGAACACTTTATTTGGTCATTATTGCTTCATGTTATCGAAAAGGATCCCCTGTCAAATCACTAAACGTTGAGTGACAAACATTCACCTAGCAGAGTAGATGTGCAAATAAAAATATTTCTACCGATATGCTGGAACTCATTGATAAAACACTCTAGCGAATGTAATTCTCACAATTGATTATATTAATAACTACTTTTGATATTTAAAATTTCACAAATTCGATAAAAAATACATTAGTTGATATAGTAAATCCATTTATTGATATGCAAACATTTGCGCTATAAATAAATATTTCATGATATAATATGGAATTTGTGATGTTAATTCATTCTTTGTTATCAATAAATGAATCATTGATACAATAAATAAGGAATAACTAGTAAAACGGCGCTTTGTATATTATTCCTTTGGGGTTGTCTTGAGTAACACTTTTGCATCAAGGTTATAGTGTGAATTGTTGGTCTGTTTCTGCACCAACAATTTTTTCATCTGTGTAAAAAGGGCAACTTATACTTTACTTTTAACTGTAATAAAGGAAACAAGCATGAAACCCCGCCAATATTACATGTCCGGTTGTGTGCAATGCATTAGCTCCTGTGAACTATGTTCACTGGACCTTTTTTGTAAATGGCGTAATTGCAGCTCTAAAAAAAGTAATTACTGGTGTTGTTTTGTCATCTGCAGTTATGATATAATATGTAACTGTATTAGTAATGAGTAGCGTTATTACTTAATCAATAATCACAGAAGTAAGGGAGTTCTTAATTTACTTAGAGATCATTGAGAGCAGAGGTCACCATGATGTGTACTGAGAGGTACAGTACCAATCATCTGATGATCTGAGTAGTAGACTGGAGTCTGGAATGCTACAGCACTGGCATGATCAGTCAACAAGAAGTCCAGTGCAGCTCCAAGACAGTGAGTTGGAGAGTGAATGCGTTGACTCATTTTCCGAACATTAAAGAAATCTTCAATTTTCAGCTTTTCACTCAAATAACAGTTGAAATCCCCCCAAGTAACTAGGACATGTTCACATTCATGATGCTTGGAGAGATCCTGAAGTGTCTGCATTAAATGAGTAAGGGAATGTGACAACCGTGTTCATGACGCTTTTGGAGGAACATGCACACAAGTAATGCAGAACTTGCCAACAAGAAAGGTAATGAATTCAATACTGCGAGATGACATTACATAACATAGCTGGGCACTGTTCTTGAAACTTGTTGAAACATACACAACAATACCATGTGTAGTGTCTCCTGGATAGACTTGATATCCTGGCAGGTCTCTTTCACGGTAAGGTAATTATGGTAACGATTCTCAGACAACCCTGCGTAGATATTTTGTGGAATATGTAAACGGTTTCCAAGTTATGCTCTTGCTAAGGAAACATTCGTAAGAACTCCCAAACTATCAAAAGGCACCAGTTTACCAATAGACCTACTTATATGCCAAGTTAGGAAGATATATTGTACGGTTTTCAAGATCTGCGCCAAATTTGGTGATTTTCAGTCTAAGTCAAAGTCGTTGCAATGGAAACTCGATTTTTTTTTAAATCCCAAACTATCAAAAGGCACCAGTTCACC